AATGTCTCCCTCTGTGGGCCTCCTTCTTCAATGCCGACAAAACCCGGGGAGGAGGAGGGGAGAGAAAGTGGAGTCGGGGGGCGGGGGTCTCGTGCCTCGCTCCAGAAAAAGGGACAGCTAGGACTCCCCGAGAGGCCCGCCCTCCGCGGAGGAGGAGGAGGAGCCTGGAGAAGACTGACCTCTAGGGCCTGTGGGAGGGGCTCCTTGGCAACGCGGCCTACTAGCGCCAGGACTCGAGTGAGGAGGAGGCGGAGTCGGGGGGGGCGATGACTTCGCAGCTCTCTTCCACCCCCACAGATTTCTTCTCTTGGGAGCCCTTAGAAACCCCCCATTCACGCACAGCTGGGAGAGACTACAACTCCCAGAATCCCTCAGCGGGGGGAGGGAGCCAGCCGCTGCCTGGAGGTTTCTGGGAGTTGTAGTCTTTCAAATGTCCCAAGCTGGTAGGCCCCCTAAAGGGTCACCAGGGGTCGCTGGTCCCACTGCGCCCCTGCCCAAGGCGGGAGGGAGGGAGGGAGGGGGTGCTCGCCCAGGTGCCCTCCCACAGGTGAGCTGCCTCACCTGGGCTCCTGGAGGCGAAGACTGCAGGAGAGGCTGACGGGCGAGGAAGGATGGAAGGGACAGCTCTTTCGCGATGGAGCCGGTCTCAAAAGTCCGTCCCTTCCAGAAGGACCACCTTCAAGACGCAGACAAGGACTCCTGTGTGGCTGGTCGACTGGCGGGCATGGAGAGCCAAGGGACCTTGTCAAGCCTTGTGTTCTGCTGACGGATGGATGGAGGGGCGGACGGACGGACTGCCTCCCTTTGAAAAGGCGAGGCTGTTGGAGGCATCGCAACCTCGCAGGCTGCCTTTCATAGGTCTGGCCGGGAGGAACCTTTCTAGGCTGGGGTGCCTGTCAATCACTTCAGCAGTAACCAATCATGCCTTCCCTGCCTCTGAATTCAAAGAGAGCCCCGACTCTCTGCATAAGTGTCTTTTCCTCTCTCTCTCTCTTTTACTTTGTGGCCGTTAGTGCCCTTCAGGGAGTGCAATCTGCGTGTAGTCTGCAGGAAACCGGCTGTGAAGCTGTTGAGGCCTGTTGCTGTAAGCCGTCCACTTTTTTTGTGTGCAGTACGCTGTTTTTTATCTGTTCTATCTGTTCAACTCTTGAGTAAATGAAACTTTTTTATTCTTTCTCTTACCATTGGCTCAGAGTGAGTCGTTGAGGCTGTTAATGCCAGTTGATGAGAACAAAGCTGTTGCAAAAAAAAGTTGGCTGGCTTGTTGACCTAGAACGATAATCTCACCTTGTAAAATAATTGTTTTTCCACAGCTGACACTTGAGTATGTTTTACATATGATAGCAAAGCATAAACAAAGGATGCCGGGCTTACTGTATAACAGGCACTCTCTGGAGCTACGATAGTCTGGTTGATGGACCAGATGATTTATGCTTTTTGCTATAAGCTCTTTAGTTTTATAATGTAACTGAAACATTCTTTTTGATATTTCATTGTATATTTATGCTCCTTTATTTTGGATTGAATTCTGCCTTGATACACCTTCTAAAATGGGGGCAAACCTGATTTGGCTTTGATCTGAGTCTTCGTTAATTTATGGTGAATTTTTCTCTCCCCCATAGGAAACAATGGAGCCCAACTTTTGACAGCTGTCAAAAGTTGGTGGGGGGAAAAATTCAGCAAAAATTAATGAAGAGTCAGATCCCAAGCATTTAAACCTGTGCAACTTTAAAATTCAACAACAAATTAAAAAAAGAGTCAGGACAAAGTCAAATCAGGATAACAAAGGGTTTATTAAGTGCACATTAACATCATAAACTTTATAGCATAGGACAACTTTTTAGACTCAGCAATCAAGGTGAATGAACATTTGCAAAACTCTTTCAGTACAAAAACTCTTCATGCATTGAAGAAGCATACAGTAACATTTTACATGACACTTTTTGAAAGTGTATTACGGTACAGAAACTCTTCATGCATTGAAGAAACATAACATTTTACACAACACT